CGCAGGCCCCCATGACGTGGTTTTCTCTGGGTTAAGGGGGGTTCAGGGTGTAGAAAAGAAGGTTTAGTATTTAGGGTTTAGGGTTAAGTGGGGTTTAGTGTTTAGGACATAGGGAAAGGATGCAGAGATGTATCGCTGTGTTGCAGTAAAAAACTAAGCGCAAGAGGTTTTTGTATCTTTCTGTTTCCTGCCCCAGTCATCCTCTCTACCAGACGAATACCAAGTTTCCAAAGAATCATGTTTTCTTCATGCCCGGCAGTCTCAACCAACATCAGAACGCCAGCTGAACAAAGAACAAGGCCATTGGGAACTTTTAATCCCTTTCCCCTAAACCCTAAACCCCCATAGCAGTACCCAGGACCCTGTAGGATCGGTTGTTCAGGGTCGGGGTTGAGATGCTTCGCCTCTCCAACCGAGTCCTTGATCTGATGAAGTTGCTGCTGCAGAGCCTCGAGGACGAAGATGCACGAGACACTCAGCTGGAGCGTTCTGTAGCACCAAAGGGCTCAAGCAAGGTTCGGAGAGGGTTTTATCGATCTTATCCGCGGCAGGCTGTTGAAATTGGGCCTGAAGCTCGGTGCAATTTATTTGGCAGCCGTGACAAAATGACCATTGAGCAATGGCAAAAATCTATGAACAATTCCGACCGAGAGCCCTGTCGGCGCAACTTGCGCCTTGCAACTCACTCGGGATGGGACCTCTGGTTTTGCACGCCAGGTGAAGAAGGCCGCGGTGGAGGTGTTTGGACAGCTGGGTGAGCATGCGAGCGACCACACCCACGATGCTTTGACTTTTTCGGCGACTTTGTTCACGTCTGCGAGGGTATTATTAGAGGTTGGTATATATATATATAAATATACCCATATAAATATCTACATTATATACGTATATGTTATGTATGTATGTATGTATGTATGTATGTATGTATGTATGTATGTGAGCATGTACGCATGTATGTATGTATGTATGTATGTATGTATGTATGTATGTATGTATGTATGTATAGTACATGTTTACATGTGTGCGTTTGTATATGTGCATATATGTTTTCGTGTGTGTGTATATATACATATATACAAATTAGTATGTGTAGGTTCGTGGCTGTGCTTTTTTATACCTGTTTACGCCAGCAAGTACATAGGTAAATAATGACTATGTAAGTAAGTATGTATTATGTATACATACACAGGCTAGGGATGTCCTGAGATGCTGTTCACCGATGCTCAACCGTCAAACTCCTGAGCGCAATTTCACTTGTAATCACGGCGAGTCATCACACCCAAAACCCTAAGCCGTCACCTGCCTCTCCCTTGGCCGAACCAGGAAATCCTCGACTTCCTCCACGATGCGGATCCCGAGTTGCACCGTTCTCAGAGATATTCGGCTTTCTGCCGAACGTGTGATAGAACGAAGCGGCTGTGTCTTTGGGCCTAGGGGTCCAGCCCACTTTTTGGCTTGGGGTTCACAAGGAACTTCGGAGATCCTGACGGAGCACGAATACGAATAAGATTCGCAAAAGCAGTTCGTTTAACAGCTCCAGAAACTCAGTTGCCTGTAGCAGGGTTGTAGTCAGAGGTGGAAACTAACGGCATGAATTTTGAGGGTCTGCTTGACCCGACACATGACAACGGGCCCTTCGCCCAAGCGCAAACAAGCCTGGAGCAGGGGTACTTGCACCCTGTTTGGTTGGTCTGGAGCAACGCGACTGAAGGCATTGGATGTAGTTTGCGGCAATCTGCCTGACCTGAATTTGACGCAAGCATTAATCTGGTGAAGTGATGCAGACACTGAATTTGATGCGAGGTGCAGTGGTTAGCCACGCCTAAGCCGGGCAATCGAATGCTCAAGCATTCTTCCGGTCTTCCACGGCCGTGTCCTGATTGTGCCGATATTATAGGTCAAACATCCGCCAAACCCACCGTGCATGTCCTTTGATTTGCGAGCCGAGACAAGCCCAGACAGCCCTGTGTGAGTCGAAACCGAATGCCCCAGCCTAGAAATCCCCAAGGTTTTAAGCTTTGAACGCCCCACATCCTGACCCCTGAGCCAAACCCCGAATAAGGACCCTCAACTCAGGCGCGCCACGGCGGCTGCTGCCTTAGGAAACCTTGGTGCCTGGACTCACCTTGAAGAGTTGAGGCCATCCGTCGCCTTTACCCAGGGAATGAAATATTTTTCAGATGAGGGCTTAGACGTCAAGTTTTCACAAAAAATGGAAACTACAAGGAAACTGAACATCAGTGCATCATACAGTGGTACAGGTACCGCGAGAGAGTAAGCTGTGGGCCTTCCGATGGAGTTCGCACTATCACGGTTTAGAGTGGTGGTAGTATACGGTAGCACCGGTGGTTGTGTTTCGTGTTCGAGTGCCTTAGGCTTTGGTGTTTCGAAAGTTCAGATTTCTCCATGCCGACTTCAAGAGCATCTGGGTTGCAAGCTAGGGCTTGTCGGCCAAACCATAAATGCGTAGCCTTCGCGAATTCTTCCTTGAGTCAATCACCCGTTCAGCTGAGGAAGGTTTACAATTTAGGGTTTGGCGGGCTAGACGTCACTCTAGTAGCGGTTGCAGGGTTTGAAGTCTCAGAACTGGGAGCGCTATTTTCTTGCATGTTGGAATACCTGCGCTTACAGATTACATACTACACGCGTCCAGTTCCGACGATCGGTCTGTGCACCACATCCGAGAGCGCACTCCGAGTTCTTGGATATGTGATGAATATGAATGATGGTCTTCAGGACGGCAATCACTAGTCCACATACTTGTAGTAGTTCGTATTGTGACAGAATGCTGAGACCTTGTGCTAATAGCACAAGCCAGAGCTGCGACAGCAACAAAAGCTACCATAGTTGTATTACTGATAGCACTGTGCCCTATCACTCCATAGAAGTCCCTAATCCCTAAACCCTAAGCCAAAGATAGGGTTTGGGACACAGGCCTTGCCTATCCGACTCCAGTCCTGCTGTCGTTCGTGCCGCTTTGAGAGCTGCCGAGTCCCATGGTAGCAGATAAGATGGGGGTTGGGACACTTCGTAGTAGTATCCCTTGGCAGCCCCTAGAATCTATGGCATAATAATATACTCCGAGATCCTCTTCGAAACACTGCGGGGGGCTATAGTAGGCTTCGTCATAGCTTGTGGTTACGAGCGGTCGCACGGTTCCTCTGCCGAACTGTCCTAGCACACACGAGGGTCCCTGCCTCAAAGAGAGTTTGAGATTTGTGGTGCAGGGGTTGAGGGTCTTGCATGGTTTGTTTGTTAGGTTGCCAAGGCTCCTGATGCTTCGTGGTTTCAAAGAGTATTGGAAGTGCTCACTCCCAAGGAAATGGGGCGAGAATGGCCAGCAGCTTGCAAGCAGCATCGTTGAATGCTTCGCCAACTCTGCCAGAGGACCGTTCTTCCCATTGTTACACCCCCCGCCTTCAAGGGAAACCGTAGACTTGACGGGGAAGTAATGAAGGTATACGGTATAGCAGGCAAGTTCTGGGACATGAATTTTCGGTTTTGCCTGCCGCTGCTGTGATTTCCTTCAGTGGGCTTGCTGTGAACTCTCTCCAGTTGATGCAGATGAGATCAGACATTGTGGGTTTCATGGCAGTGCCATGATACTGTTGCTTTTGACAACGGCCCGCGAAAGTTAACGTGTCCGTTTGCTTTTGACAACGGCCCCCGAAAGCTAGCATGTCCGTTTTCTTGCTGAACCTGCCTGTTTTGGTCGTCCTTGATCCGCCTACCGTACACTCTTCGTAAGCTGGATGGTTTGATAAATTGTGGCGAGAAAGATGCTGCACACTTGTCACCTAGTCAGGGAGCTCGGGGTGACACCTAAACGCTTGGTGCAAGATCGAACTGCATCACTGCACCCATGGCTTCGAAACCCGGCAGGAGTTCGATGCGATGCTGTAAAGGCGCCCGCAGTCTCACCCTGCTTGCACGGCCATGAAGATTTGAATCGTGCTGGCCGGGGACTTTGTCAGTGTTCCAAAGAGCTACGGGATGCCAGCATACTTGGCGAAGCTCGGGTGTGCCAAGGGCTGATTAGATTTCTAGAACTCTGCCGTTCCAGTGAGGTGATAAATCGAGTGTTCGTTTTGAAAAGAACAGTTGCACGTCACATGCTGCCAGAACGCCTGCGAGGCCTTGGCCTCTTGGGCTGATGTCGGAGAGCGTCTTGCAGGTGCCTGGATTGTCTAGATTTTTGGGTGTCTAAGGGCTGGAGCAATGCCGGGTTGTTCGGGAGATTTGGAACTTTCGATGCCGTGTGTTAGCTCTGATTGTTCATGTTCAATCGAGCTTGAATGATCTCCTGGAGCCGAGTGCGGCACAGGATATATATATATATATACACGTATATGTATATGCACATATATATATATATAGAGTATATTGCAGTACTATTGCTTTAGATTACAGCATACTATGGACACCATAGTATATTATGCATATTTAATATTTAACACTTGCTCCCAGCTAGATGCCACGTGATCGAGGCCATGTTGCAGAACTGCTCCGTGATCCAGACAACGCCACTAGGGAAGCTGCAGTGGCTTTCTTTGCAGCTGCAGGCGCACGTGTGGTTGGCATTGGAAGTCTCATGCCGGTTTGCCGGGAGGTTCGAAGGTCTTCCGGAGTTGCCCTTATTCTCCTTGCGAAACTTAGTTTCGGTCCTCGTTGTGCGGTATCTCATGTTTACGGAAAGCCTGGGCTGGACACGGGATCATGCTCACGAGGGCCCTAATCCCTGCTATGAAAGTCTTCTGGGCCTCTCTGGCCAGCACAGTGGCTTTGGGAGTCGGAGCGGTGAATCCTTTATCAGGTCTTTGTCTGAGGCTTCCCGAGACAAAGGAAGTTGAACAACCACCGCCCTAATCCCTGTAGTCTCAGACTCTTTTACACACATTTCGATCTGCAAGCCTTATCACACCCAAGACCATCACGACAAAAAAGAAACGAAACTGAAATTGATCGCTTCAGTAGGACTGTGGCTGCGATTCTCATTCTGCTTAGCATTTGTTCCTTTCTACACATGCATATACACAAAATTTGGCGGCGGCGTGTGCATACATATATGTACGCATGTATGTATACACATACATACACACATACATACATACATACATACATACATACGTACGTACGTACGTACGTACGTACATACATACATATATGCAGATGGCTTAACCGCGAGTGCAAGGACCCCGAGCCGCCCGAAGAGCGGCTGCAGCAGCAGCGAGCTGTCTGTCGGGACCGCCCCATGGCTCGGAAGTGCGGAGGATTGCGCTAAGAATTCAAAAAATGTTGAGGGTTGCGGGGCTTATGCTGAACATGATGAGGCGGACTGCTGGCAGTTGAGAGTAGCATGAAGTATCGTTGAGTCCTGTCCCCGCATGCGCCCCAGCTCCTTTTGATTTTTTCTGCGGCATGTTCAGTTGTCGCAAGTATCGTCAGCGGAAACCCTGGCTAATGCATGCGGGCATCACATTCTCTGAGGTCTAAGCATGCTGTTGTGATGTGATCCTGTTCAAGAAGTCCTGACAACCATGGCAACACTAAGAAGGCAACGCTAGTCACAAGGTCGGCTGCAGCTGCGGCTGTCGCCTTGGGCCACATGCAAGCCTCGAACTACGCCGAGCAGGTTGGATACTTTTGGATATGATGTCACGGTCTTTACTGAGCAGAACCGGGCCACAGCTGACCAAGATTGTGACTACGAGTTTCTGGGAAGCATAGGACAGTGAAGTAGCAAGAGAGGAGGAGGCGACAGTATTTACAGCAAGAGTGTTATGAGTGGGAATGGAAACAACAGTACTGACAAAGCGAACCGAAAGTAGAACCGTTGCAGATAAGATAGTACTGGCATAAGGAGCATCTGCAGCAACAAGCAGTGCTATGGAATGGCCATATCGTACAATTCCGGATTCAGAAACCAAGTGTAGCAAACAGCAGCACATAGCAACAACAGCAGTTGATATTACAACGGCAGGCACATGAATTTCAAAACGAGCTTCTGGTCTCAACTCGATGTGGCTGGATAGGTTGCCTCGCTCCTGTCCTCGGCGGGCGCCAGCGACGTCTCCCTGCCTCCTGGCGGCTCTCGCGAGGGGTTGCAGGGTTCTATAGGATTTACGGGTGGCTTGGACTCGAAGGTTCGGGGCTTGCAAAGGTTTGGGTTTGGGAGGTTGGGGAAAAATCAGGAGAGAATCTGGGCGTGAGAGGAGTTTACCACGCCAATCGAAGGCTTTCAGAAGCAGCCTACCGAAAACGAATTCTTTACGCAGGTGGGCTCTTTTGAACTGGCTATGTGAAGTGAACTCACCTTGCGACCGGGCGTGGATATGTTTGAGAGTGAAAGCACAAGCCCTGC